CAGCTCTGAGCTGCAGCCGGGGCCTGGGGGCGGGAACTCGTCACCTGTGATTAACCCCTTACATGCCGCTCAAACATAGACAGGTCTCAGACCGTGGTATCGGGGGACTTTTAACGAGTACGAGTACTTTAGAAAATGTGGTATCGAGGCCGATACCCGATACCAGTATCGGTATCGGTGCATCCCTAATAGTCGGGACTCTCAAAGTGGAGCCAGTGAGAACCTGATAACAATAAGAGAACCATTAAAAATTTGAATCGTTAAGTGATATTGAGAATGGAATTGGAATGGCTAAATCCTCATCAAATCTGATCACTACTGAGGGGTCAGATCAGAAAATGTTTTCTCAGCGGCTTGTTTTTCTGCATTTGTCTCTTCAGACCTCCAACAGCAGCACATTGGTGAGGAGGAGGAGGGTCTGGATGAGCAGCAGGTCTGTAACCAGGAGAGGAACTCCAGTCTGGACCAGGAGGACCCAGAGCCTCCACAGATTAAAGAGGAACAGGAGGAGCTCTGCAGCAGTCAGGAGGGAGAGCAGCTTGGACTGAAGCAGGAGGCTGATACTTTAGCAGACAACACTGCTGCTTCAGAGAGTCAAACTGAAGCAAGGGAAAAGTCTCTACAGTGTGACACTTGTGGGAAAACGTTTAAGTATAAATGCTTACTGGCTGCACATTTGACAGTTCACACAGGAGAGAAACCGTTTCCTTGTAGCAAATGTGGCAAAAAATTCAGTCAGCTGACACGCTTGAAAAATCACATGAGAATTCACATAGGTGAGCAGTCGTATCCTTGTAGCACCTGTGGAAAAGAATTTAGTCAAAAATCAGCTCTAAAATCTCACATAAGAGTTCACACAGGCGAGAAGCACCATTGTTGTAGCACCTGTGGGGAAAGTTTCATTTGGAATATGCAATTAATACGGCACAGGAGAATTCACACAGGTGAGAAGCCATATTTTTGTAGTACCTGTGAGAAGAGATTCATTCGGAAGATACAGTTAAAGGATCACATGAGAATTCACACTGGCGAGTGTCCGTACTCGTGTAACAGCTGTGGGGAAAAGTTTATTGACCTATCAACATTGAAAGCTCACGTGAGAATTCACACAGATGAGCAGTCGTATCCTTGTAGCACCTGTGGAAAAGAATTCAGTAAAAAATCAGCTCTAAAATCTCACGTAAGAGTTCACACTGGCGAGAAGCACCATTGTTGTAGCACCTGTGGGGAAAGTTTCATCTGGAATATGCAATTAATACGGCACAGGAGAATTCACACTGATTAACAGTTTCATGCTTAGAGAATATGGGCACAGCTGCGACTTATAGCAGTGTGCTGGTGGTAGAGCCGACACAGAGGAGCCGCCTTTTGCAGGAGTCTGCTCCTGTTGTGTAGGCTTGTTCAGTTCAGTTGTTTATTATCCAGGGATCGAGTTCTGTTATTGTTCTACTGAAGCCTCGTCTTTTTCTTTTTTAATCAAAGCAAGAGTAACCAAAGCTGAGTGTGTTCATTCAGGTTTTTAAGTCTCAGTTAAACATCTAGTTTTAGTTTTTATATATACTTGAATATTATAGGTGGGAATCACCATACATCCCACGATACGATATTATTGCAATGTTTTTAAATATTTTGCGATATTCAGATTCTGTACATAAAGGTAAACTTTATCAATATTCATTTGATCTAATAACAAAGTCTCACACTCAGTCTTTCTCTCATTTCAGTTTTATTGTTGACAAACTGAACGGTTTGTATTACAGTCTAGTCCAACTTAACTGAATGCAACCATCTGGTACAATTATAGCTATTCTGAACTATGCAATTTATGAAAACTATGCAGCCGTTCAGCAACTGAAGAATTTGAAAGTAAATTAAAACAAAATATAATTTTATATTAAATAAAAAAGTTTTAAACTTCATTAAAATAAAACATGTCTTAAATTAAAATAAGTAAACTGTCATGTTTATTGCTGCCGAAAAAAAAAAGGTTAAACACATTTGAACAGTGAGAGAATGCCAGGATTCTTGCTCAGAAAAAGGATCAACATGCTCTGAAGTCAGAGCATGTTCCAGTCCACAAAAACTGTTTTTGTAACAAAATATCGATTTCTGCTGCCCCTGTATCGATACATTATTAGCAAACAAAATATCACGATACTACACAGTATCGATTTTTTCCCCCACCCCTATTGAATATATTGTCACACAGTGTAAGGATTTTCAGGCATGGTACTTGAACTTTGCTGATATTGTTGTTTTTTTTAATATAAAAAAATCCAGCTGTGTCTGCTAAATACAGAATAAACTATAAACTAAATAAAGATTACATTCAAACATCTTTTGACAGAGTTTCACTTTCAGGAGGAAAATGTTTTAATAGGGCACTTATTGTGAATTACAAAGTCTGTGGCACACCATTTGCAAGAAATCCAACAGCAAATATATTGTCTTCTGCCTGTTGTGGTAGCTACTAGGAGTGTTTATTTGTTGGAGGGTGACATGTTATCAGAACGAGTGTTATCAACACTTCCCTTGTGGGCCAGTGGTGCAATGGACAATGACTGACTACGGATTTAAAAAATCCAGGTTCGACTTCTGGCTGCTTTAGTCTCTTTGCAGCCTCCCTATGAGGGCGAGAACACACTTTATGGACATGTAGATACTGGGTAAGGGAGAAATGCTGGTGCTATTAATCGTTTGGATTCAAATGAAAGAACAGCAGCTCTAATGTCTTGTGTGGATCTAACTGTATACTGAAAATATCACAGTGTCACGTCAGTGCACTCGTAGAATAAAAAAACAAGAGCTTCATTTCTTTGAATAATAATTTTGTTTATGTTGTTTCTCTTCTACTTCACGGAGAAATCAGTAGTTCTTTATTGGTCACAAAGATTTTTTTCTCACTTTGTACATTTGTGAAGAATGTGTCATTACATCTACATTGATCTGTTTGTCTGCTGTTTTTGACTCAGCAAACGCTGCAGGAAGTTTACTTTTCATTAATATAATCAATGAGTTCATTGTATTTAATGTGAACAAACTCGGGTTATTTTTTAAAAAGGAAAAAGTCTTGTGTTCATTCCAGGATCTGACAATGTGAAACTAATCTGAGAGAATAAATGAAGCAGTTTTCCTCCTCGGTGCTTTTGCACTGATTTTAATTTCTGTTGGCAGTAAGTTCATGAGCTCTGTGTGTCTGACTTGATTTCATATGCAAGAAAATGATTACACACAACTGAACCTGCAGAAAACATTAAAGTGAGACTGAAAGACAACTGTCACACAGAGCTGAGGGAGACACCTGGTGGACAAACACAGACATGACAACAAAAAACACTAAAGCGCAGAGGGATGACAAACAGCTGGAAATAACTCCAGGAAAGGATTGCTGTGCATCAGAAAAACACTCAGCACACACTGATATCTTGTTGGCTTCATTTAGGAAGTGAAACTGGCTGATAGAGTGAAGACACCAGGCTGTTTTGAATAACTGGTTTGTTTTTCAATCTGAGCTCCAAAGGTTGAAAACACAAATCCTTTTTCATGATTTCCTGTCCTGTCGACACATCACTGAAACAGGCATCGAGGTGAACGGTGGCTTTAAACCTGGAAGAGAGGAGAACTAGGGACAGAGCCAAGCTAACGACAAAGAACAGGACACTTTCTCTCTCTCTCTTAAGAAAGACACAAATAATTTGTGTGGCATCTTATTTAATGCAGAACAAATAAATAGTCTGAAAATAGTTATTTCAAAAAAGCCTTGGCTGCATTTTTAGGTAAATAGCTGCATATAACTTTGTTGTCTGCAAAACCTATGCATAGATTTTTAATATTTACAATTTATATTTGCGCTTCAAATTATGAAAATGATTCGTTAAACATGTTTGTGGTTGTTACAGTAAAAAATATCACTTTTTTCTACTCTGATTTTGTTTTTTTGTCAGATTTAAGATTAATTGTGTTAATACAGTATGTCAAAATGAAAAAAATAACTAAATTCAAATAGGTTGTGCTGAAAAGAATGATACCAAACAAGGGAAGATAAACTGTTTTTAAAGGTGAAATGTAGAGGGAAAATCAAAAGTAGTCAAAAACGGCCAACTACACCCTGGACCCCAGAGGGTTAACCCTTTAAGGCCTATCGGAGCAGGCACACTTTGTTTTGCATAACTATTTTTAAAACCTAGTAGAATTGCAACCACATAAGCTAGCAAAGGATGAAAATGACCTTTTCTATTCAAAGTAGGAAAAAAAATGGAGACCAGGAAAAGTCAGAGCTGAAAACTTTTTCTTTTAACTTTTTTTAATTTTCACCTTGAAAGCAGAGTGAAGGTTTTTACTGAAATATTTTATGAGTTGACAGCACTATGTGCTACTTTCTCTCTGCTGATATGAGTAAATGGAGCTCACCCACCTGTCTGTTTTTCTATGTCTATAAGCAGCAGGTACACCACCTACTGAAACTGGGGTGAAGTGCACCAAAACCTTGGTTAGTCGTGATTACGTGACGTGGGTTGTGTTTGAAAACATCTGTGCTCCAGAAGCTTGACTCAATGTAGAAACATCTTTTTATAGCTTCCCATCCGCACTGATAACAACTCTTCACTATGCTCCAGCTGCAAGAATCAACTGTAGAGTCAAAGTGAATTCCCAAAGAAGGAAAGCTTATAACTCTCTCCAATCTCTTCAAATCTTCATCAGTGAGCCTCCACTGTTTTTTTGTGGTTCACTTGTCCAGCATATTTATTCAGGTAAATTAATCATAATTTTTTTTAAACCAAAACAAACCTTTCATTCTGAGCTTGCGAGGACCTCTCTCACTACTGACTGGTTAGTCAGTCCTACTTTTGCGCACTACTCCTGGCATCGTAGTAGGTAAAAGTCAGAAACAAAGAAAAACTTCAGCTGAATAAGAGAACACTCTCATGCTGCATTCACACATTAGAGCAGGGGTGGGCATCTGCAGGCCTCGAGGGCCAGGTCCTGCAGCTGATTCAAATGGCTAAATTACCTCCTCAACATGTCTTGAAGTTCTCCAGAGATTTGGTAACAAACTAATCATGTGATTCAGGTGTGTTGACCCAGGTTGATATCTAAAACTTGCAGGACACCGTCCCTCGAGGCCGAAAAAACAATGAACAAACAGAACAGGAGCATACTGAACTTTAACCTTTATGAAATGTAAGATGAGTTTGGCTGATACAATTATGAGAATAAAGCAGGAAACCAAATAAACAACGTCTTGAAATACTGTCTTGAACATGAATCATCTTTTCACTCAGGTGTTGCAGTGATTTGACTTCTGGTCAGTATGAGTTCTACCACCAACACACTGCTATGACTCAGGGCTGTATCACATTTTCAAAGTATTAAACATTTAACCAGTGTGAATTTCCATGTGTTTCTTTAAGTTCATCCTCTGACTGAATCTTTTACCACAAGTGCTGCAAGGATATGGCCTTTCACCAGTGTGCACTCGTATGTGAGTTTTTAATGTTGATTTCTCATTGAATCTTTTCCCACAAGTGGTACAACAATGTGGCTTCTCCCCTGTGTGAATTCTTTTGTGAGTTTTCAAGTGTGCCAGCTGATTGAATATTTTCCCACAGGTGTTACACGGATACGGCTTCTCACCTGTGGGAATTCTTACATGAGTATTCAATGATGATTTCTGATTGAACTGTTTCCCACAGGTGCTACAAGGATATGGTTTTTCACCTGTGTGAACTCTCAGATGTGTAGTAAGGTTGGATTTAAAGTTAAACGTTTTTCCACAGGTGTCACACTGTACAGACTGTTTCCTTGTGTCAGTTTTACTTTCTGACACAGGGGTGTTGTCCACTCGCTCATTGTGATGTCTCCTCTTCTTTAGCTTTGTATTTCTAGTAGATCCTGAGTCCACGTGATGGCTTTCTTCATGATCTCGGCTCTCTGCTTCAGGAGAGCTGTGACAAAGGAGCTGCTCACTGTTTAGTTTTTGTTCACTGTGGGAACTTTCCTCATAAGTCGGAGTCTCCATGAAAGTATCAGTCTCCTGCTTCATTCCAAGCTGCTCTCTCTCCTGACTGCTGCAGAGCTCCTCCTGTTCATCTTTAACCTGTGGAGGCTCTGGCTCCTCCTGGTCTGGGCTGGAGTTCCTCTCCTGGTTACAGACCTGCTGCTCATCCAGACCCTCCTCTTCCTCACAGTCATGTTGTTGTGGGAGGTCTTGAGGAACAAATAAATACAAGAAAAAGTCAGTTATGTGATGATAAATGGTGATCAGACAAGAGAGTCTGTCATTTGACCGATCGTGAACCCGTCTGTTTCATGCATGCACAACACACGCACAGCAGCTCAGGCAAACAGTTGTGCATACTCACGGCCACACACTAATATATTGGCATTGAAGCTCCTCACTGCGAGCAAAGACCCAAAGTCCACCAAACTAAACTGCAAGGTGACCATTTTTGTGCAGCAAACACGGACATGTTAAAGAAGCTAACAAAAGAAAAATGGCTAAACCTCACGGTTCTACAAATGTAAACTTCAGGGAACATTGTCTGAAGGTCATGTGAAAGTTACATTTATGGAATGTGACCATCTCTTCTGTCAGTGAGAGAGCACCAAAAGAAAGTCCTTATGTGGTACATGGCGCTCAAAAGTCTGTCAAAGAATGTTTCAGTACGACTTTGGTAAGCTACGAAGCTGCACCGCTCGATGGATTGTCTGAGCATTACAGCTACCGTAGTCAGGAGCCTCGCAGAGTAATCTGGGTCTAAAACTCCGTCCGCTTCAGGTCCCAAAATCAAACGAACACTGCAGCATCACTGAGAGTTTAAAAACTGTCTAAACTCTTTCATCTTTAATAAAATGATCAGTGTTGTTGCGTTAACAGGTGTAACAATTAATTTTAACATCCAGGCATCCATGAAAACAGAATGTATTAAATTTAACAGAGTTAGAAGTTAGCAGGAAGTTAGCTCGCTAGTTTCCACCTAAACATGATATAGCATGTTCTGACTGAGAGATTTCAGAAAAAACTTAAAAAGTACAGCTCTGCTATCACTTCCAACAGAAATGAAGACAGAAACAGCAGTCACTTTTTTAGGGTTGCTGAAGTCAGACTAGCTGGTATATAATGATGTGCTACATGATCGCTAGCAACACAGCTATGTTAGCATAATATAAACACAGTGAAGCTGGAGTATGAACGCCAACTTTTTTCCACTTGATAAAAGTTAATGGTACAAATGTAATCACATGGCAGGATGCTGTAAACAGATCAAACTTCAGTCAGGAGAACAACTGAGATAATCCATCCACAATACGAGGTTTGTCAATAATATACTGCAACAACACGGGAATAGAATTCAGCATTAATGAATCAATGGTACGGAAATGGACGAGGCAAGAAGGATGAGTTTAGTAAAGTTTGAGTTATCTGACTGTTTTGTTTAGCTTAATGTGCCTTATGAACTGAAAAATATGGTAATACAAAAAAAAAAACCAGAGACAAAAACTAGAAAACACCCACAAATGTTTCCAAAAATGTAGTGTTTTGTTTTGTTTCCTTTTTTGTAATGAAACTGTTTATTAGAGGGGAAGTGTGTTTTAGGACACTCGAGCCTAACATTAGCTGGCATAAAGTTAGCTCAAAACCAGCCGTTATTGTTGTTTAGCAGGCTCCTTTTGTCAGCAGTCCAGAGACCAGAGGTTCACATGTCTGATCTCCTGAAAAATCAGTAATTGCAGCAATAGCTGAAATAAACAGGATGTTTCTGTCCATGTTCATGTGTTAGTGCTCTGACTTCAGTTCAGGAAATTAGGGTGTGAACAGTTAAAAACACGTCCATACCTATGATGTGTGAGTTTCTGTCGGGTTTCCGGCTGATATCCAGCAGTCTGTGCTGACGGTTGATCTCCTCATGCTGGACGATGGTTTTTTGAACCTCTGAGAAGATTTCTTCACAAACAGCAGTTAGTCTCTCCTTGATGAACTCTCTCAGATACTGAACTGGACTCATTGCTGCTTCAGCTGAGGCTGGGTGGATCGATCCAAGCATCGATACAAGCATCAATAGAAGCGATACAGACGTTGGTATCAGATCCACACTGATGTGACGGGATCGATACTTTAGTTTGTGTCTCTCCTCTAACTTCAGTCCACTTCATCAAACAGCAGCCATGTCTGTTCACACTGCTCCACTTGAACAGCCACACTTTGCCCCTCCACCTCCTTGCTTCTCATTCTTCTGAGCTTGATGGTAGTTGGCAAACCAGCTTACAGGTGTATTACTGCCACCTACTGGAGTAAAGTGTGGACAGGAGAATAGCAAGAAAAAAAATTAAAACTATATTCTTTCCATCAGCTTAAAATCTGAATGTATTCATAATACAATAATAATCCCCGGTTTATCATAGAGTTTAAACATAGAGACCTGTTGGGAGTTTACCTATTTGGATTGCATGAGTTAAGTCCTATTCTCATCCAAGTAAACAGTGTCTCTTCCTTTGGGTTCCTACCCTGCGTCATGTTCAAACATACATACTTTTAGATACGGTGAAGATGTCTTCCAATTTCAGCTGCGACCAAATATTCCAGCCAAATATTCTGCAAATAAATGTAGAATATTCCTTTACTACACCCACTCTAAAACCCAGAGAAGACACTGTTTACACTCTAAGATATGGGTTAGTCTCTGTTATCATTCTCTCCCAGGTCATCCCAAAATTTGATGTTAATACGATGGGTTTTTACAGGCTTTGCCAGTGCCACTATAACTGCCTGCTTTCAGACTGATGGGATTGTCCCTGTGCGATATGACCAAAATCTC